CCTATACTCAAGTGAAACTATTTCACTAGTGCCTAATCTACTAGAATTTTATCAGAGTGTAACCCACCTGTCAGAAGGGAAATATCCAACTACCATCTCTTCAAGTCATAGTGTCCCATCTAAAGGGGTGGGAACTGCAAAGCAATTGTGAAGGTCACAGCCCCATGTTTCAGGTTCTCTAGAAGATTGTGCCGTAGTCATAGGACTACAGAATACTTCCTTTCCACTTCCAACTTACCACCATGTCACTAAAGACTTATTTATCACAGTTTCTTTTACCTAATATATTATGTCTGGCATTCAACAAAAAATTCCATGGCATACTGAAAGACAAAAATACATATTTCAAAGAGAGAGAGGAAGCATCAGAACCAGACTCAGATATGACACATGCTAGAATTATCAGCTTGGGAATTCAAAACAACTATGATTCCTAATATGATTCCTAAGCTAAATTCTTTTTTTTTTTTAATAATAAATTTTATTTTTATATTCCCCATACAATTGCAACCCCCCATTCTGACCCCAATCCCTCCCCTCCCGCCCCCACCCCCAAAAAGTGTCTCTGGTTCATAGTTTTTTGTTGATTTTGATTTTCACTTTCTTAAAGTTATTCATTTTCCTGGTCCCTTATTTAAGTTTTCTAGATTCCTGCTATGAGTGAGACCATCCGGTATTTTTCTTTTTCTTTTTGGCTTATTTCACTGAGCATGATCCCTTCCAGCGCCATCCATGTTGTTGCAAATTGCATGTGTTTATCTTTTTTGAATGCTGAGTAATATTCCATGGTGTATATGTACCACATCTTCTTGATCCAGTCATCTATTTTTGGGCATTTGGGCTGTTTCCAAAGCTCCTAAGCTAAATTCTACTGGAGAAAGTATATAGCATGCAAGAACACATGGGTAATATAAGTAGAGAGATGAAAATCCTAAGAAAAAATAGAAAAGATCTGTAAAAATAAAAAAAAAATGCTGTAACACAAATGATGAATGCCTTGGAAGGGCTCACTAGTAGACTGACATGGCTGAGGGAAGAACCAGTAAGCCTGAGGATAGAACAGAACTTCCATGAAAAGCAAAAAGAATAAGTGTCAAAGAATGGAACATAATATGCAAGAACTCTGGTGCAATTACAAAGGTTTGACAAGGGAGAATGGGAATGCCAGAAGTGAAAAAAAGAGAGAAAGGAACAAAAGAAGCAATAAAGATTGATAATGTCCCTAAATTAATGTCAGATACCAGTAATCACAGAACCAGGAAGTTAAGAAAATATCAAGTGTATGCCAAAAATATGAAAAAAAGAAAAAGAAAAATCAAAATATTGAAGCATAGTATATATAAACTTTAAAAAAAGCAAAGAAAAAATAAATCAGAGAAGCAATTTACCTATGGAGGAGCAAAGAATAACAAACTTATCCTCAGAAATTGTGCAAAAAAAAAATAGAGAATGAAGTGAAAGAAAATTTTGAGCCAAAGACACAAGCAAGCTAACACCATCGTAGAATTCTATATCCTTTGAAATTCTCCTTCAAAGAGACATAAAGATTTCTCAGATGAAGAGAAGTTAAGTGATTTTGTTTTCAGTGATCTACTTTGCAAGAAATATTAAAAGAAGTTTTTCATTCAGAGAGAAAGAAAAATATGTCAGAAACTCACATCTATGTAAAGAAGAGCATTAGAAAAGGAATAAAATAAAATAAAAACTTTCATTATTTTTCATTCAGTATTGATTGAATTGGTAACTGTTTGCTCGAGAAAATAATAGCATGATTATTGATGATTATAACTTATGGATAAACTTATGCCACCCATGAAGTACTATGCTGTTATTTGAAAGTAGACACATAACTTGAAATGTATATTGAAAATTCTTCAGTCATTACACTGAAAAAGTAAAAAGCAAAAATGTAGAAGTATAATTGAATGCTAAGAAAGGAGAAAAAAACAGAATCATACAAAAAATTCAATTAGAAAAAAATTAACACAAAACATAAAAAGAGTAGAAGACAAAGACAGGAACAAAGAACAGAAAATAGAAAAGTTACAAATATTGTAGGTATCAGTAATCACACTAAATGTCAACAGTCTAAATACACCACTTAAAAGAGTGTCAGATTCTCAGAGTGAATCAAAAGATCCAAATAAGTATAAGAAACCTACTTGAAATATAAAGACATATATAAATAAAGGTAAAAAGATGGAGAAAGATATATCATGCTAAAAGTAATCAAAGAAAGCTGTTGTACATCCAACAAGAGCAGAATAAAACCTCAATCTCATGAGAAAAAAATCACCAAGATTCACTAAGATTTTTTATGAACCTTAACAAAATTAAAAGAATAAAAATCACACAGTCTGTTTTCAGACAACAATGACAATAAGCTAGAAATAAGTAACTGAAACATATATGGAAATTCCCCAAATACTTAAAAATAAAACACATATCTAATATCTACATGATACATGAATCAAAGGAGAAATCTTAAGAGAAATTAAAAAATATTTTATCAAAACAAAAATATTTTAACTAAACAAAAAATAGTGAAAGTAGTGCTTATAGTAAAACATATACATTTATTTCAGAAGGAAGTTATAAAATCAATAATCTAAGTTTCCACCTCAGATAACAAGAATAATAAAAGGAATTTCAATGTAAATAGTATTAGAACAGTAATCAAAGAAACTGAAAACAGGAAATCCATAGAGAAAATCAGTGAAACCAAAAGTTGGTTCTTTGAAAATACCCATAATATCCAGTATAACTAAAAAAGAAAAAGAGAGAAGACATAAACTACCGATATTAAAAACAAAGAGATATCATTGAAGATTTCATGGACATTAATTGGGTGAGTAAAGAATAGTATGAGCGTTACTACAAATTTGATAATCTAGATGAAATGGACCAATTTTTTGAAGACACAATTTGCCAAAATCCACACAAAAAGAAATAGACAATCTGAATGGGATTATGCTTATTAAATAAATTAATCAATAATGAGTAACTTTCAAAACAGAGAGCACCAGGTCCAGATGGGTTCGCCGGTAAATTCAAATCAATGTTTAAGTACAAAATTATACCAGTTCTTTTTTATTTCTGACTGTAGAAGAGAGAATACTTCCTAACTCATTCTATGAGGTCATCTTTACTGTCACTAAAACCAGAAAAATTACCAGAAAAGAAAATTTTAGACCAATATCTCTCATAAATATAGATACAATAATCTTCACCATAATATAAGCAAATCAAATTTTGTATAGAATACAAAAAGTATTCTGTATCATGACCAAGTGGGATTTATTCCAGATATGCAAAGCTGACTCAGGACCCAAAAATCAATTAATGGTATCCACGACATCCGCATAATACAGAAAAATCATATCTCATTGCAACAGATGCAGAAAAACACATATAACAAAAACCAACAGACACTCATGATTAACATTCTTAGTAAACCAGAAATCAAGGGGAAGTTCCTCAATTTGATTAAGGTATATATATATATATATATGTATATATATACACACACACTAGAATACTACTCAGCTATATATATATAAAAAAAAGATGAATCTAGACACAGGTTTTACACACTTTACAAAAATTAACTCAAAATGGCTAGACCTAAACATAAATTGCAAAACTAAAAAATTCCAAGAAGATAACATAGGAGAAAATCTAGTTGACCTTGGGTTTAATGACTTTAAAAAAAAACACAACAAAGGCACAATCAGTAGAATTAAAAACATTTGTTGTGCAGGACACTGTCAAGAAAATGAAAAGGCAAGTCACAAATGTAAATATCACTGGTAATTAAGGAATTTCACATTGAAACAATAATGAGGTATCACTACATACCTATTAGAATGGTGAAAATCCAGAATATTGACACCACCAAATGCTGGTGAGGATGTGGAGTGGCAGGAACTCTCAAATACTGCTGATGGAAATGTAAAATGGTACAGTCACTTTGGAAGACAATTTGGCAGTTACTTATAAACCCAAACATACTTTACATACCATCCACAATTGTGTTCCTTGGTATTTAACTAAAGGAGTTGAAAACTTATATGCATTCACACAAAAACTTTCACATGAATGTTTAAAGTAGCTTTATTCATAATTGCCCAAACTTGGAAGATGAAAATATCTTTCAGTAGGTGAATAAACAAAGGTACATCCAGACAATGGAATATTATTCAGCACTAAAAACAAACGAGCTATCAAACCATAAAGACACTGAAAAATCTTAAATAGGTAGTACTAACCGAAAGAAGCCATTCTGAAAAGGCTACAATATGTTTTCAACTATAAACATTCCAGAAAAGGTGAAACTATGGAGGCAGTTATAGACAGGCGGTTATGGGATCAAGGGGTAAGGAGGAGGAGAAGCAAAGAGCGAGCCATTTTAGGATAAACTATTCATTATGAAACCATAATGGTGAATACATGTCATTATACATTTGTCAAAACCCATAGCAGTAGAACACCATACATTCCAATGTAAAAGCTTTGGGTGATAATGACGCATCAGTTTAGTTTCATAGAATGTAACAAATGTAGGATTATGGTGTGGGATGTTGATAGTGGGGGAGGCTCTGTGTGTGTGGTGGGGGGCGGGGAGTATATGGGAGACCCCTACCTATTGATTTTGCTGTGAGCCTAATGTTCTAAAAAACAAAAACAAAAACAAACAAAAATCTGGTCTATTAAAAAAAAAATGTGCTAGGCTCATATTTGATGAGTTTAAAAGCAGAGATTCTATTTCTAATAGAAAAAATAAAAAGCTTGTGTCGGTTAGGGATAAATGTCATTTCTCCTTAATGACAAAAAGGCTTCATTACAGATAAATTTAATAAAAGAAAACACAAGTCAACTTACAGTGAACACGCTGGGGGTTAAGTTCCATAAATGCATGTAGAAAGTAACGGTGATATGGAAGCCTTAATCGAAATGTTTTGGTAAATTTTAAGGACCAATCTTTTTCTTTTGTTTTGTAGGAAGAACCTCTATGGAGCACACTTAACTGAATTACATTCAGGTGAGCTTAAATGTGTGCCTGTCCTTGTTTGTGTAGACTTTATTTCTACTCAAATGCTAAGAGGAGAAGGGCATGGTGTCCAGGTTCCTCACCCAAAAATCAGGTGGAGACTCTGGCAAAGAAGGACATGCGAGGCTGTTCACTCGTGCAAGCGAGGAGCTCAAGGCCACCTCACCAAGGCCGGGCCGCTGAAGGTCAGGCCCAAGGTCAAGAAGCTGGCAGAGGCGCCTAAGTCTAGGGCCGATTACTGGGTCCTTGCCTCTGGGTGTGCTCGGGTCTTCTGCTGGTGCGCCTTCTATGGCGCCTGTGTGACCCACTGAAGCCCCAGCGTGGGTAAGGAGGGGACCCCCTTCTGTGGTGCTGGAAAGAGGCCGTGCGCATGGGGCCCGAAGGTGGCTCGGGGCCCATGATGGAGTTTCCTTGGCCAGTATTCCCAACCTGGTGCGGAGCGGGGTCGTAGGAGAAAGGGCTGTGCAGCACAGGTCGGGGGAAGAGCACAGAGACTTCTTGGTGCGGGGAAGGAAACAGAGGTCTAGGCAGAGAAAAGGGCGCGGGGGATCGCAGCAGAGGACAGAGGTACGAGGATGTAGGTGGGAACCGCGAAAAAATACGTTCGCCTGGGTCACCTCTGCGGTCCCGGGGCTGCCTCCCGTGCCGGCTGGGCTGTCCTCCGCCGGGGCCTTCCCGGATCCATCTGGTCACGCGCTCGCGCCGCGGCAGGTCCACGCCCCAGGCGTCCGCCAGGTGGGCCAGCAGCAGCTGCGACAGGTGGCGGTGCGCGCGCCCGTCCCAGTGCACGCCGTCGCGCTGCCGGTGCTGCCCTGCGTGCCTGAAGTGGAAGTGCAGGTCCAGCACATCGAAGCCGTGCCTGCTGGCCTCCGCCGAGCTGTAGAAGTTGGCCTCCATCACGTCTTCCCGCAGGCGGGCCATCTGGGGCCGCAGCTCGGCCGGGAGGAAGCCGCCCGAGACCACCTCGGCCACTGGCATGGCCGTGTTCCACACCAGCAGGCAGGACTCGGGCAGCACCTGATGCAGGCGGCCGAACAACTGCTCCAGGTCCTCCCGGTAGCGCCTCTGGAAGTTCTGGCCATACCTGGACAGGTCCCAGAGGCAGGAATTCATGATGACCACGTCCGGGACGTGCTCGCCCCAGTGCAGTTCCGCCAGGACCGCCTCCAGGTACTCCGAGTAGGCGCGCGTGAGGAAGTAGAAGCGCACCAGGTGGTGGCCCGAGCGGAACTGGCGGACCTCGCGGTAGTGGGTGCCATTGTGCATGCGGCCCCAACGGCCTCCCTCCAGCAGCACGTCGCCCTCGAAGCTCAGCTCGCCCTTGGCCTTCAGCTGGCTGGAGGAGAGCAGGCAGTCTTTCTGCAGCAGGAGCACCAGGTCTTTGTACACAGCCCTCTGGATCGAGTCCCCCATGACGACCACGAACTTGTTGTGGAGCAGCTGCTGGACTTCGCAGGCCCGCAGGTAGGCCATGGTGGCTGCCGGCTGAGCGGTGCCCTGGCACCCACCTCCCCTCCCTGCAGCCGGGTACAGAGTTTCAGCGAGGTAGAGAGGGCGGGCAGGAGGGGGGACGGGCGTGGCAGGCTTTTCTGCCTCCCTGGGCGCCTGGATAGCGAGGAGAAGGGAGGTTGCGCAAGGCCCCCGAATATCTCCTCAACCCGGGGAGATTTTGGCCCAGGATGTGACCTCTGAACTGTGGAGGCGCCTTTGAGAGTCCGGGCTCCTCCTGGCGGAGGGGAGGTGCAGAACCCCAGGGCAGTGAGCAGGGGCAGCCAGTGGTTTGCTACTTGTTTTCAAACTATTCGGGCTTGTTCTGCTATTACGGTGCATTTAGGGGTGTGTTCATTTCGCTGACTGCTCTTTATTGTACATATATTTATTTTGCATATATATATATATATATATATTTATGGGCATCCCATCATCTGCCCACTGTAGCGTCTGGGATGCCTACCTTTGCTACTGGCTCTTGCTTGCTCTGCTTGTTTTCACCTTGATTTTAGAATTCCATCATAGCTGGCTTGGTTCTCCTTCTGAACTGCTACCTCCTATACTCAGGCCTATGGGGGATGCCTCCATTGCGGGGAAAAATGCCATTCCCAGCAGAACAACCCCACCCCATGGAAGACTGAGCTGTTGCTAGATTTTCAAGCAGTGATTCGTGAAAACTCTGGTTCTGTGTAAAGGCTAGAGCTATTTTTCTGCCTTCTAACTACTTATTGTTCTTCATTGTGTGTTCTTGCACATTTGTATGAAATAGCACAGAGAGATTTCTGTCGAAAATTTTAATGCAATGTCATAACCAAGAGGAGAACCTGATATACTCAATATTCAGGAAATGTCCTCATTACATGGTCTCTCTCTTTTCAGCACTGTATCACCACCTTCCTGCCTCTTTCCCACCTAATAATGCCTGGTAACTGATAAGCTAGCCCCCATTTCTAGAATTCTACCACTGGCAGAAATCTATATGCATGCCATTTGCAGAATTCTATAAAAATATACAGTTTAGAATTTGGGGGGGGGGGCTTTTCCTCTTCAATATCATTCTCTGGAGATTTGTCCAGTGTATCCTCTTTAAAAACCCTAGCCACCTGTTTTCTGTATTAAGAAGTGACTTTCCCAGTGGTATAAAATGTGCCAGTGCTATATTCTCTTTTTATTGCCCAAGTAGATTTCTCTGAGATGGATACACCATAGCCAGCTTAGCTATTTCCCTTTGTAAGGATCTTGGGGGTGTTTCCAGGTTGGAGCTATTATAAATCACACTACTTTGAATTTCTTTGCAGAGGTTTTTGTGAAAACCTTTGTTTTTATTTCTCTAAGTCCAAATCTGTGATTTCTGGGTTGTATGACGGTTGCAAATTCAGTATTTTAAGAAATATCCAGACATTTCCAATTTTACATTCCCACCACCAATGTGTGAATTGCTAGTTTCCTTCTCTAGGATATAGATATGAATATCCTGAGTATGACCTTTTTGGTAGTATGAACCTTGGGCTCCTTCCTTGGATGAATATAAGCTTCCTGAGTGATATAGTACAACCCTCCTTCATCTTTACACATGGATGCGAGTTTTAAGTCTGTGTGATCCTAGCCTTTTCGTCCTTGATTAGATATGTGAGTTTCCTGGTGAATGATCCTGAACTCCCTCTCTCCCTGACCCAGAATGCAAACTTTATAACCTATTTTTAAGCAGATTAATAAGTGATCCCCTTACTAAATGCCCCTATGATGTATTTATTAATCTTCAGAAACTTTGTGTGAAATAGCTTATTTTGTAATCACTGGAATTATTTGATTTATGACACATAAATATAAATTCCTAAAAATTGTATGCTATCAAATGACAAGTATCACGAATTATACTTGTCTATATATTAAAGGGAAATTCCAAATCTTTACATACTTTCTGTATACTTCTTGTTTTATACATGTTATTAAAATAAGACGGAATCAACTGGTTTGGTCAATGCTTTTCATATTTCACAGTTTTTTTTTAGTGAGGCCTTCAAAGTCTTTTACTCACATTCACTAAAAACAATGTATATTATTTTATAAATTTTTAAAAGATTTTTTTTATTTATACAAGAACTAGGGTATAGGCCAGAGGTGCGGGAGGCTGAGAGGATTCACCAGAAACAGAGTTGGGAGCAGAACAGGCAGATGGAAACACTGCTGTGGGTAGTAGCTGTCGAGACAGGAGAGATCTGCTGCGCCATGTGGGTATCTCCCTGGCCGGCCGGGAATCGAACCTGCACTGCAGAGGCTGTGGACAGCTTCATATCACTGCACTCAAGCCGATGTGCCAACGGGGAGGCCCAATAATATAATGTGTATATTATTTTAGCAATTTACTTTTGGACCCTTAAAATCAATTATTTGTTCTTATGCCTGGGAAGCAAATGCATTTCTTCAGTAGTGCATATACGAATTATCTGATTTTTTTTTATTTTATGAAAATAAAGTAGTTTATTTGTACATTGCATTTTAAATAATGGAACTAAAGTCAATTTAGGATAACTTACTTAATCACCATGTTAATACTGTTACTACTTCGTAGACATGCTACCCTTTCTCTGCAGAAGATTTTCCCACTTCCAGAACAATATGAAGAAAAATCATTTTAAACCAAGTTATGATATCTCTAGGTAGCCCCTATACTATATACTATATTTTTTTAATTTTTTTTTTAAATTTTATTTGTGCAAGAATCAGGGTACAGGCCAGATGCGCGGGAGGGTGAGAGGATTCACCAGAGACAGAGTGAGATGCAGAACAGGCAGCTTGACTGAAATACACTGCTGAGGGGAGCAGCGAGTGAGCCAGGAGAGGTCTGCTCACCATGTGGGTTGCTCCAAGGCTGGTGGGGATTGAACCGGCACTGCAGAGGCTGCAGACAGCTTCACAGTGCTGCGCTCAACTGCCTGTGCCACCAGGGAGGCCCCCCTATACTATATCTTAAAGAAACACAGATAAATGGCTAGAGAAGCATTGTGTTGATTACATCACTATCATGTTCATGTGCCTAAATATTAATTTTAGGAAATTAAAATTTTGATCTATTACAGTTAAAGGAAAGGAGATATATTTTAATTTTTTTCTTTGAGGAGCTAAATTTTTGCCAAAGATAAAGAGCTTGGCTGTTCTCGGAACACAAGTGAATAAAGGCTGTCATTTAGACAGTTGAGTTTTAAGGAAGGTTTATCATCTACTTATTTATTCACTCTGGGTTTAAAAAAAATCAGTGTTTGACAGATTTGCATTTTCTTTTGTGTTATATAACTGTAACCCTGAAAGATATTACTTTGTGCTCTATTCCTTACTACAAGCACAGAAACATTTCAATTTAGGACCGGTGAATGTTAAGGTACATAGAAAGAGACACGAACATTTATTTTTAACTTACTTCCCAATAATTTTTCAATTATTTTGCTTCCAATGTCTAAAATCCTTTATAAATAATATAAAAATCATCACATGTTCAATTAAAGTACTATGCCATAATACATATTTATTTTATGATATGTGGTTTTCCAGTGTTCTTAAAATTATAAACATAATAGATAATGTCAAATTATTTTAAATGGAGAATTATAAGTAAATATTCAAAGTATTTTCTTTATTCAAAGTATTTTCAAAGTATTTTCAAAGTAATTCAAAGTATTTTCTCCTGCATATTCTCAAAAATTGGGTGTGTACACATTCAGACTTGTATACCTTTATAAACAATATCTTTAAATATGTATAGACTTACATATATGGTTACAGAAAATTTTTCACTCTCTGTATTATAGCTTAATTTTTTGTGAAATACTATTTTTTTGAACATTTTATTTATTTTCATGTAGAAGGCTAGGGTGTAGGACAGAGGAGCAGGGGGTGAGAGGATTCAGCAAAGACAGAGTGGGGAACAAAACAGGCAGATCTACTGAAATACACTGCTAAGGGGAGCAGCGGGCAAGACAGGAGAGGTCTGCTGTGCCATGAGGGTAGCTCCCTGGCCAGGAATCGAACTCAGGCCTCTCAGGCCTTTAAGTTAGTAGTGCTAGACTTAACCTCTATGCTACCAGAGAGGCCCTTTTTTTTTGTGTGTTAGGTTATATAATAAACATCTACTTGGATCAATTTCCCTGGAAGACAGAGCGAAAAGAAAAAGCTAAAGTGCTGATTTGTTAAAGTCCCAGAGAAGTAGGGGTGTTCGGGGAAGACAGGAGAACAAACACAATGGGACACAATTATTGGGCTAACTACTTTGTGTGTCACTTGCAACTGATAGTGTGACCTAGTGTGATCATCTGTCAAAGATTGTATAAACTATTCGACTTAGGACAGTTTATCTCCAGAATGAAGGAGGAAAAATGTTATCCCTACTTATATCCCATAAGTCAAAAGTTTATTCACTGTATAGGGTATTTATTCTTCCTGTAATTCCAGATTGTCAGTGCGAGCACCTAATGGATGTCCTAGTCACAGATAACTCTGCAGAGGCAGAAAAGGCCTGAGATTTCTGGACCTGCTAAACATAGAGGTTCCATATGATCCAGCAATTCCACTCCTAGGTATTTACCCAAAGGACACAGAAACATCAATTCCAAAGAACACCTGCACCCCTATGTTTATAGTAGCACTATTTACAATAGCTAAGCTTTGGAAACAGCCCAAATGCCCAAAAATAGATGACTGGATCAAGAAGATGTGGTACATATACACCATGGAATATTACTCAGCATTCAAAAAAGATAAACACATGCAATTTGCAGCAACATGGATGGCACTGGAAGGGATCATGCTCAGCGAAATAAGCCAGAAAGAAAAAGACAAATACTGGATGGTCTCACTCATAGCAGGAATCTAGAAAACTTAAATAAGGGACCAGGAAAATGAATAACTATAAGAAAGTGAAAATCAAAATCAATAAAAATTATGAACCAGAGACACTCTATGGGGGGTAGAAGGTGGGAGGGGAGGGA